GTTAAGACCGCGAAGACCACTCTTGCGTGTTAGCCAGTGATCACACACACACACACACACAAACAAACAGCGTCTTCTCGTCGTCAGCTCGGGGTCCTCAAGGATGCTGATGAAGATATGCCTCCTGCTGACGCTTCTCCTGGGGGTAGCGTCAGCACAGGTGGTCACTGATAGAGCAGGTTGGTTTTAGATGTGTTAATGGAATGTTATTTCGATTGCCTAACGAATTTTTTCTTCTTCTTTTTTTTTGGTTTTGTCATAATTTGAAGGGGGTGATCGAAGTTTAGAGAATGAAAACGAAAAAGAGGAAAGGACATAGAAATGATGAAATTATTTGTATATTTTACAATAAGATTTCAGATAATACTTTCCTGCTTCTCCCTTAGCAAAATTTAACAGGGCTCGAAACCGCAATTAAATAAATCAGCTCAATATAGTTGCCTCTTCATCATTAATGTTGCTCATACTACAAAGTAGAAACAAACATCACAGTCAAGACAAACTGCTGAGTCATGCAGTCTGGAATTGCACCACTCCCACAGGTACGTTCAACCGAAAATGAGCTTTCAACTAAACAGTATTAAATGATGTAAACGTATACCTACACCACACACTACTACATGGAAAATTCACTCGGGTATTGGCATGACTTCATACACACATTATACGAAAGCAAACAACAAATAACACAGTAAAATCAACACAGACTTCCGGGTATTAAGATAAATGAATCCAGGCCTATGCTCGAGCAAATTCGCAGGTATTTGCGCTCAGGCAGCCTTGAAGCCAGCTGACGGTCACGACTTTGCTCTTCCCTCCAAGGACTCTTTTACTATATTTTTTTCTTCCATTATCATTATCATTGTCATTTCATTATTATTCATTTATTTTTATTTTGTTTATCTATTTTTGTTTATCTATTTTTGTACTTAACTTTTTAGTGTTTTTTTTTCCCCGAGTTAAATTTATTGTTATTTGGCTAGGATGTGGTTACTTTTATTAGAGAGATGATTTTTGTTTTTTTTTCTTTAGTTAATCTTGTGTTTGTTTTGAATGGTGGATATCATCTCTTTTGTGTATAATGTGTGCTAAGAACTGCATTGTGTACTCTCGTTAATGCAAAACAAACAGTAGTTATGTACGCAGAGGCACTAGGATTACTGTTCGAGTTATCAGCACATTTTACGGTGACAACGAATAAGATGTTAGAAACTGAAATATTATGGACTAGCAAAATAACTAAACACCTTCCTTACAGAATGTCGTGTTTGCGGCGCCGGGTGCCAGTCGGTGCCCCGGTCGGACACCTCATGCCCGATCTGCATCTGCGACGGCGTGGCGCTTCCTGACTGCCCTCTGCAAGGCCTTTGTCCCCCGGGGTGCAGGGATGCCCGAGACAGTGACGGATGCCGCCGCTGTGACTGCCAGCGCCCCGATACCCAGGTGTGCCCTGCCCTCCCTCCGTGCCCCGAGGAGTGTCAGAGGATTCAGGGCGTCGACGGGTGCCCGACGTGCGTCTGCGGAGATGAAGGGACCCGCGTGTGCCCTGCCGTGGCGTGCCCGAGGGACTGCTCCTTGGAGATCGGCGCGGACGGGTGCCAGAGGTGCCAGTGCGAGCGCCCCGGGTTCTGCCCCGCCCTACGTCCCTGCCTGAGGGGCTGCATCGAGCGGGACGTCGAGGCCGACTGCTTCTCCTGCAACTGCTCGCTGCCTGACGAAGGCGCACTCCCTGGTGGCGAAGGCCCCTTCGGCCGGCCGGAGCCCTTTGGCCCGGAGCCTTTCGGTCCTGGCCTCTTGGGTCCAGGACCTCTAAACCCCTTGGGGCCCCTTGGGGGGAGGAGGCCTTTCGACAGCCCTTTCGACAGGCCTTTCGGCAGACCCTTCGGCAGGCGTCCCCCCTTCCTGGGTGGCCCCTCCCGGCCATTCCCTCGGTGCCCCAACCAGCCCCGCAGCTGCCCCCGCGGCTGCCGCATGTCCATCACCGCCGAGGGCTGCCGCCAGTGCATGTGCGGCGATGATGCCTTCCTGTGCCCTGGCGTCCCGAGGTGTCGGAACCGCTGCCTCTTCCTCAGCCCCGAAGACCGCTGCTGCCGCTGCGAGTGCCCGAACCAGCGCCCCCGCGGCCGCCCCAGCATCCGGATCGAGCCCCTGATCGGGTCCCTCGGGCCCTTCAGGCCCAACGTGCTCAGGATTGGCATTCTGAGGCTAGAGCCCTCGGGAGCGCCCGGGAACGTGGCTCCAGGAGACGTCGAGGTCATAGGTCGTAACCCCACGCCGCCGTTTGCCGAGCGACCTGAGCAGCCAGCAGGAGCTCCCAGGCAACCGGCTGGAGCTCCCAGGCAACCGGCTGAAGCTCCTAGGCAACCAGCTGGAGCTCCCAGGCAACCGGCTGAAGCTCCCAGGCAACCGGCTGAAGCTCCTAGGCAACCGGCTGGAGCTCCTAGGCAACCAGCTGGAGCTCCCAGGCAACCGGCTGAAGCTCCCAGGCAACCGGCTGAAG